TTTCCAGCCTGTCTCGAGCAACCAAAGTCCTCCTGCACGATCACCCCGAAGTCGTTTGCTTGAGAAGCACGTTGTAACTGCTGGTCCCAAAGTCGATATTCATAGATAAGCTGATGGCGTATGCTTACGACTTTGCACTTGGTCACGTTGAACTGGAGCCGGTTGTCAAATGACTACGCATAAGTCCTGTCGAGATCGCTCTGCAACGCCATGTGATCATCCGATGTCCTGATATCATGCCAAATTTTGATTTCATCTGCAAATAGTAAGAAATTCGACTGCAGTACACTGCTAAGATCGTTAATGTATGTGAGGAATAAACGTGGCCCCAATACCGATCCTTGAAGCACGTCACACTGGACGTTAATGGGGTCGGAAATGGAGCCGCGGACTCTCACATTCAGTTGACGTTGAGGGAGGAAGTTGCCGATCCAACCGAGCACAGGGTTAGCGATTCCATAGCTTCGAAGCTTGTGAAGGAATATACGGTGGTCCAAACGATTGAACGCTTTCGAGAAGTCCAGGTAGACAACGTCGACTCCCACTCTCGCATCGGCTGACTCTGTCCATCTTGCTCGGGCTAGCAGCAAGTTTGTAGTGCAGGATCGTGTTCGGCGGAATCCGTGTTTCTGTGACACTAGGATGTTGTTGCTCTCAAGATATCCCATGAGCGCCTCTGCAATTATGCGTTCCATTACTTTGGATAAAACTGGGAGAAGAGTGATTGGACGGTAGTTCGAGGGCTCCGAACGATTACCACTTTTGTACATAGGAGTGACTACTCCATGTTTCAACATTGTCGGAACCTGTATTTCGTCGAGACAATGTTGAAATAACCGAGCTAATGGTTCGGCAAGATTCATGGCCGCTGTCTTCAAGGCCTTCGGTTTGATGTTGTCCACTCCAGGTGAGCTGTGCACGCGCAATGACATTAGCGTTTTCATCACATTGGCTACCGTGAATGATACGTGGAAGCTGTGTAAAATGTTGTGTAAAAACCGGATGAAATGATGGTTCACTCCGGAAAGTTTGGATGAAGTGTTGGCGAAGCACGTTGGCTGCATCTTTTGCGGTTTGCGCAAGACCATCTGTTGCATGTTAAACCGGGATTCCGTTCTGCACTCTGCGGAGCTTGTTGAAGTGTCTATACAGCAACTTGGGATTTGTACTGAATTTTGACGCTAAGTCCTGTTGATGCTGGAGTTCATCTTTGTGGATCAACTTGGCGCAGTGGTTTCGTTGAGTTGTGTAAGCACCCCAGACCAGGTTGCTTGGACAGACTTTGTAAGCGCGCCAGGCTGAACCCCTTAAGGCTATGCACTGTTTAGTACGTCTCCTCAGGAACGAATTCACTTGCTTCGGGCGAAAGACTTTGATTTCTGACGCATTTGCCACTAACTCAGTGAATTGGGTGACGAAAAACATCCAGGCGAAATTGGGGGCTTCTCGGCCAGGATGGACCAGTCGGTTTCTTGAACGAAGTTGGGCAGTTTATCGTAATATGTAACGACGTAGGTTTCCACGTTGTTCTCACTGATGTACTCCGAGTAACAGATGTAACGCAAGAGCAACATCGGGTGATCGCTACGGCCAAGTGTTGTACCTGTGGTCACGGTGTCGATCATTAGTTCATCGTTGGAGAGCAAAAGGTCAAAAACAGAGGGTGTGTCACCCGTTCGGAATCGCGTGGCAGAGGTGACATGGTTGTACAGAGATACATCGGCGATCACCTTTTGCAAATCCGCCTTGAATTGTTCGTTGTGCGATGCTGGAATTTCCATTGCGTGCAGGTTGAAATCCCCCACCAGAAGGACGTGACTGTATGGTCGTGCCAGGACTCGTTTCATCGCAGAAGCTGGGCATATGTCCATTTCCAAGGTGTACATTGGAGGGCGGTAGACTATTCCTAGTAAACACATCACCACGTCTTAGGTGCATACGACACCAAAGTGAATCGACGACTTTGGTTTCTGCGTCCTCAATGATATCCACATGCAGGTCGGATCGATAATCCAGGAGCACTCCCCTCCTCTGCAAGGTCGATCGTTTCGTATGGAAGTCAAGCCGAGTAGTACAATCTCAGCATCCGTGACCTTCGTGTTCAGCTATGTTTCGGTGACCATAAATCAGTCATAAGGCGTGGAGACCTGATGCATACGGTTCGGTTAGCTTGCTGAGAAGATCTTGTGCATTGGTATACAAGCAGGTGAGGGCATCGGTGGTCAGAAGCGTGTTTGTTAATGCTGGTTTCCAGTGAGGGTCTATGCCAAACCTTGCGGGTCGGCTGCCGCTGGTTTCTTTGTGGGACCGATGACGCAGACCCTAGGGCCAGTTCAGGTTGTTGTATAGGGCACTCAGCGCCAACAAGAGGGTGACCATCCTGTCCTCCTTCAGCTGCCGGTGTGTTTTGGCATTGTTTCCGTTCTGGGCTACACGGTGACAGAATTGTATTGGTAAGTTGCTTGCTCAGTGTTACATTCTCTATCTGTGGCCCGGTTCCTATTGCCTTTATACGTATTTCGGATGGCAGCATTTTACGCTTTTTGTGTCACATTTTGATCACATGTTCTACCATCAGTTCGGAGTGCAATGATACTTTCATCACTCGGGGACCACACTCTTTGTAGTTAGGTGATAGCGATAACCTTGATGTCGAAGTAGAGATAACATTTTCGAGTGAGAGTATTTCACGAATAAAAGGCCATTCATCCCAGTCATGCGCTTTGACCTCTATCTCTCTTAATGTCTGGAGTTCGGGGACACCGTGAACAAGGATAGATTTTGAGTCTTGTTGTTTACCGAAGTCATCCGGATTTTGGTTGAATTTCTGGAGTTCACTCCAAGGAACAACTGGAAATATTCGGACAGTGCATGTGGTGGTACGGAGACGCGTGGTTGACAAGAGAACTGCTTCTGCATCATTACCTGAATAAAGTGTTACCTGGAGCAACTGCGGTTCACCACAGTGTACGGAGTTTGGGTGACGGACGAGGCGCATCATACTGACTGGTTTAGCTTGAACCTTTAGTAGTTGACACAGGGAGTCCCACTGCATTTTGTCGTCTGGTATCTTATCTTTTATGGAGTTCGCCCCTAATTCAGTCACATTAGAGCATATCACATTTAGAGAATTATAGTATTGTTTGATGTTCTCCTTTTTGGAGGGACCAGTGGTTGCTTTCTTCGGTTGGACAAGTGATGGGGTCTTGAGTCCCGTGGTGTTATTGGCAGTAGTAACTCGTTTGGCAGCGGGCGGGGTTACGACAGGAGGTGCCTACATCATATGGGTAGCAACAGCGGACGCTTATGTTGTCGGCCGTCTAACAGCGTTTAGTGTGGCGGGGTATTCTGTTGAGGAATGTGTGGCGAACGCATCTTTATGAGCAGCCGCTAGTGTCGTGGTGGCTAACTTTTGTTCGATACTCTTACCCTGTTCTGAATTGGAGCTTGCTGTTGAGCATCGAGTTCGAGGCAATGATTTGCCTGGTTCATGTGAGACAGTTTTCACGGCTGCTGCCTGCTCTACAATCTTTGTCAGCCTATCGCACTTCTGCGCCAACACAGTTATACATCTGACAAGTGGAAGAGACCTACACTCAGTGCAGAACTAGAGAGAATCAGTTGTACTATTAAGCTTTTTTATCTGGCTGACACAAAAGCGAGCACATCGAGAATGGAAGTATTTCCGGCAGTTTCTGCATTCTATTCCAAATCGTACAAGTTTTACACAGCTGTCTACGTCACAAATAACGTTTATTTCGGAAGCTTTGGGCTTAGCTTTCCGTGGGCAAACAGTACGTGCCATTGTGTCTGTCAGATCTGCGGAAGACGTTCGTTGCAACGTCTGCACTGGTATGCTGAATCCAAACGCCATCGGTCAAGCTGGTGGTCTGGCAGACACCTGTTCGGTTGCTGTAGCACAACTCCAAGATGGCGGACACAGACGGCAGTTGGACCAATCAGTGAGATCTCCGACAGTAACCGGGGAATATCCACCAAATTCGTTCAGGTGGAAAAATGAAACAAAAACAAAGTATTGCTGAAAAATTCACGCAGAGCACACGTATAACACAGTATTTCCAAAGCAAAAATGGAATCCAATACGGTAAAGCAAAAATCAGCGGCGTGCGTGGGTACGGCCAAGATGTATGGAAGATGCTGAGAAAATATTTTATCGTTTTGCAAGCGTTTCGTTGGTCTGAAAAGGTTTTCGTGAATGTTATGTGGAAACGCAAGCTGCGCAGCACTGAATGGAATGGACTGTGGATTTTTACACACATTGGTGAGATCAAAAATCAAGTCATTGGTAGCAATTATCCCGTTATGTTTTTGTAATGTTAGTTCCTCTAAATACGGTTACTCACAGTACCGCGTCTTATTATCAGGTGACAGAGCAACCTGAAGCATCCGGCAGCTTACAATAGACTCAGCGGGGTCGGCAACTGCTGAAACAGCGTAATCAAGCTACCGACGTACCGCTAGGTCTTCTGTTGGCTTTGTTGAACGCACAATAAGGTTTTTCTCCGTATAATCACTGTTTCCTCGAGCGAGTGTGTGTGATTTACCTTTGTGTTAATTCACCCATTTATGTGCCTATTGACTGCCTCGGAATCCATTTGGTGCTTTGTACGCTTGTGTTCTCCGGACAAACGAAACCCAATTGGTTAACTCACTGAGCTTGTTTTTGACAAAATGGAATAAACTACCTCTCGGTTACTCTAGGTTTGGAACTTGCAAGCACTGAAGAATAACCAGTCCCCTAATTTTTTTAATCAAGTAGTTGGCCTCAAGGTTTACTTTGACATGCCTCAAAAATTAACACTGGAGTGCGTCGGATCTGTGAATTAATACTACGGAAAACCCGGAAAGGAATTCTAGCCAGTGTTCTTGTAACTCAATAGAAGTTCAACTAATCAAACTTGTTGCTTCTTGCTCGTCATGTGTAGTCGCTTCTGTTATCAATGGCCCAGTTGCATTTAGAAACCCTTCCTTGCTCATAGCTTGGCTCACTGAAAATTTTACGGGAAATCACGAAAAATCCTCAAATCCGAAGAGCTATCGCTGACGTTGGAGGGCTACAACCGCTGGTTAATCTCTTGCGCAGCCCGAATCGTGACTTAAAGTGTCTAAGTGCCGAGGTGATTGCTAACGTAGCCAACTTTCATCGAGCTCGAAGAACCGTTCGGCAGTATGGAGGAATCAAGAGACTGGTTAGTTACTTTTTAACCCACATGTAAGCATCATTTAGCTAGTTGATGTGTGTGGCTACTCTTTATTGGCCTTTGCAGTGTAACTTCGTTTAACCTTCAGCTTACGGTCTCAGTGTTTACGTCATGTTTCCTTGTGAACAATCCTATCATCACGTTTTGTTTTAATCCAACAATTCCTCTCTGTTTGGATGGGTTCATTTATTTTCTGGGGTGTGCAGCCAAACGGTTGTACTTGAGTATATGACGTATACACTCAAAAATGGCGTCGTTAGTCCACACCCATGAAAGAAGAATGGAGTATGATATTTACGATCAAAGTTTGAAGTTGAAGTTAGAAGAAATTCTTTGCCTGCACACGTGCGTGCTTTAAAAACCTTTTTGTTACATCCCGCTAGTTATTTCAGGCTGTTAATCACACCGATAAACTTTCGAGAGAATAGAACTGTCTTAATTCTTGTCATTATCTGTGAACAGGATGATTAAAATGTCAATGGTGGAAAATATGGGCTGTCTGTTTGTATATGGTTTTGCTGAAAGCTTCATGGTTCACCTAGAGAATAATCACTTACGGTGCGCCGTGGAGGCGATACACTCGGCACATAGATGACACCTTTGTCGTAGTTGATACTACACAGAGAGCAGAATGCGTACAGGAAACCTTGAACAGATATCAATCCGAAGTCAAGTTCGCCATGGAAAGCGAGTCGGCAGACACGTTTCACTTGCTGGATGTCACATTAAAAAGCAGAACAGTTGGCTGGCTACTAAAATCGGTCTACCATAATCCAAACTAGATAGGACAGCATCTAGATTTCAACAGTTTATGCCCGACGATCTATAGGCATCGCTGGTATGCACACGTTTTGTGACACTTCGTCGGAGCTACGCGAAAGAGTCAATCACAAACCATTTGCAGCGTCTTGTATCCAACCTAGGTAACAATTAATGCACTAATAAATCTACCGCCAGACAAAAGTGAAATAATACCGATTGTATGTACATTGGATGGGACAGTGTATTCTATATGTCTATCCTCGTGCACGGTTTGATTCCCAAGACCAAAGGAACAAAACTCGATGTATCGGAAATCGGAAACATGATAACAGGATTTATATGTACAGAAGTGACGCGACTACGTTTATAGACGTTGCCTGCATGTTGCCAAACCGTGAGCTGGAACAGTTCCGGTGCAACGGATGGTAGTGGACAGTAGCAGACATCCTGTCGAGGATGCAAACGTATGGCATTACTTTATGGTCGCGGTGCACCAATTAATCACGGTGATACGGACATACAAAGGTCCCGTTGGGGTTTGGTAAGTGGGTGGTTGTGCCTACCTGATCAGTGAATATGGAAGTCTGAAATATCCATATACTGATGCATAGATTAAGGATGGTGAACAATTGCAGGTTTGCAATTTTTGCATTTGTAATTCACAGCTAAGAGAAGAACGGCCCAATGTCCCCATAGTAACGGTGTTCATTACACTAATTTACAAAGGGAATAAAATGATGAGAGGTTCTGCAACCATGTACGCCAATCCATCAAGGCGCTAGTATACAGCGGAGCTAGTGCTAGTGCACCAGGCCAGGAAGCTGCTGCATTTATCCACTCAGGCCTCTCTCTTGAGTTACCGCCTCATTCGCCTACTACATTAACTGTACCTGCGGCAGAATGTACATTGGCCGAATTGAGAGAAGCTTATCGACCATGAGCATGAAGCACCTTTCATGAGCATATAGTTGAGAGGTCCTAGTTTAGCTACCAGCTCAGCCACTCAACATCTACTCGGTTACATGGTGTGCAAAACCTTCACGAATCACCCAAGGTCGTCAGTAGGCAACCGAAGCCGGACCTGTGCTAATGGCCAGCCTAGCGTTACTACGGTAAAGTGCAGGTTCACTCGTAGGAAGCGGTGATCTCGGTCGTCACAGTGTCAAGTTGATTATTCCGATCGATATCATGTCACCATTAAACATTTCAACTTGCCACCGTATGTAACTAGGCTGTTAATTGAGCGTGAAATAAACTGAAGAGGTTTCCGTGTTGTTCTGTCCTAATACTGAGAGAGCAAGACCGAAAGGCCTCCACTTCTGATACGGCACTGTTGATCGGAATGACCAAGGTCTCAATAGAAATTGCACGTCGCAATCCGATCACACAAAGCCGAATTCGAAATCAACTGCATTCAGATTGTCCCACTAAATGTCTTCTCCTTGATAGAATTGTATATTGACAGTGGTGAACTCATACCATATTTAAGGGTTTCATGATAAGACCTCTCTACGATTTTCTACAGATGAATTCGATAACAACAAAGCAACAGAACTCCAAACCTTTTTTCAGCTTCACTAGCGTGCTTATAGTAGGTTAGTAAAATGCAATTTTACAGACCAATGATACCATGACAAGTGGGCGTTTATCATTGCATAACTGACGTCTTTATGTAATTATTTAATGAATGCCTATCCGACTTGTCTTACTTGTACTATTTTTCAAATTAGGTGGCCCTGCTGGACTGCCCAAGCCTGAATAGCGTTCCGATGACTCCAGAGGTGGAGAGGGACATCGAAGTCGCCAGGTGTGGTGCACTGGCACTCTGGTCCTGTAGCAAATCGCGAAAAAACAAGCTTGCAATGAAACGCGCAGGAGTGATCTCGCTTCTAGCAAGGCTGCTTAAATCCCCTCACGAAAATATGCTCATTCCGGTTGTGGGAACATTGCAAGAATGTGCTTCGGAGGTATATCCTCATTTTCTGAGCTTTTCGTCATAGGTGATACTGCTTTAATTCGTTACCATGCAGCACCAGTTTGAGGCTTCATCGCTGTTTACCTTCACACCCATCTCATGTATATCTAACACTCATTGTCCCGAAGCCGTGAAGCATATGTCGAATGGTTCGAAAACGTCTGACCTTCAGCAGATCACGATGGCGGTAATTTGCGCGTTTCCGGTGTTTCGTAGCTTTCTTACTGAGTCCGGCTTTATTAATTCTTCTCAAAATCAGTAATAGTGTACGATTTATTGACGCAAAGAACTAACTGACCTGTGGTGATAAGTTTGTTCGGAGCACCCCCCATATTTCTCGATGATTTATTCAACCGCTGTCCAATCGCCGAGTTTCTCCTCGTTAATACCATTTCCATTTTAGCATACGTATCGCGTAGCTATCCGCACCGAAGGTATGATCGAAGATATAGTGAAAAACTTGAAACGTCCAAATCCTGAGCTGCAAATGCACTGTGCCTCCACTATATACAAGGTGAGCCAGGTGTTGACGAGGAATCCGGTCTATATTAACTATTCCATGTCTAATCCACATGCCTCCCGCTCTTATTCCCTCGGGTTTACACTAAATAGGAAGTGTGTGGATGGAGCTGTGGGCAGTGTAGCGCAAGCCACCCATGTTCCCTCAGTAGGCGCAAGCGTCCTGTGACTGGCCCTATGGAGTCCACAATGACAGGCAAATCCGGAACAGGATGCCGCCAACCATGTCCCACCGAACCCATTAGCTCCACTAGCTAGAAGTGATGACGCCTAGATGTTTGTTTGTCGTCGAATTCGTGTGGAATAATTTTAGTCTTTCATCTATGGGTTGCGTTTGCGCAGCGGATTACCCCCTATGGTCGTGGTTTGCCGGTCTAAAATTGAATATTCACTTAGCTAACACAATTCTCGCTGACATCACTCATTTCGACTGCGCAGATCACACATTCAACTCTTGGTGTACATTGCCCGCTTCTCACACTCTCAGCAGCTAAAAGATTGTGTGCACAAAAAGGTTGGTTTAGTCCGTTAGATTTCCTCAAGTGATGCACTACCTAACTACTTGCCGCATGAGGCGAGTGAAAAACGCGGATCCGCCGACTGCATCGCCTTCAATGTTGGCTCCACTCGGCTCCACATGCACCCCCTTCACCCAATTGTCACTACGCGGCGTTCGGACTGCGCATTAGGTTGCGAACGCCGAACTGATCTAATGAAGTTTTGGTAATGCTTGATTTCGCATCGCGAATGTTCCGGTTCATCCAACTCCAACTACTTGGTGATGCGAACAGTGGTACACATTAACCGGCGGAGAAGGTGCACCAGAATTTGTTTTGAACATCTTGAGGAAACTCCTTCATACTTCCGATCGTTACGTTCCAGTGGTTCCTAGGAGCAACTGACTAGCAGTTCCCTAGCTGATCATCATCCTCATCAGATCCGGATTCATCTGCCACTGTAAGCACTAAAAACAACACGACTAGTTGCGCCGGCCAATGGTAGTTCCTCACCCACACCTTATATCCGGCATATACCCAAAGGAACAGGACTCGTTGGTACGCGACTGGCAGTCGTCAGTGTTTTTGAAGATGATCCCCCCATTTTAGCGTCCATAGCACCCTTTATCAGTGTGACAACCTCCGATTATCGTGGCATAGCTCACAGACAAGGTACACTGCGTGCTTCACAATGGCGCAGCTGCTCTTTTTGAACAGCTGAATCCGCCGAATTTTTGTTATTTAGTTCCTGGCTCATTTATAGTTTGGGATTTGCAAGGCGGTGGCTTGGCCTGTCCGTGCCACAGATGTTCTTTAAATCTAACGCTATCATGGTGACTGCGCAGTCGACCTGCACTGACTGGTATTCTTCTGGGACCAATAGTTTTAGCGTTGGTATCGAACGGGCAGACGTTTTTATTGACATTTGTATTGTAATTTAAATGAGCCTGACCAAGAAATCAGAGAAAATCGTGGCGTTGAAAACAGGTATGTTATTTTCAACAGAGCTAGAAAATATGCGATGATACGCACGTGTCGCGAACACTAGGTGGCACCTAAGCAGTTCCTTCCTTAGGTTGTGCCTCCGCCCTAAAGGTGGAGGCAGAATGTTGTGGTCTTCTGTGTATCGCGAACGTGCCAACCTCTAAAGCCCAAACCTTCGGCCCAGAACAGAAGTCGAAAGAAGTCAACATGGAACCATCTCTTGCGACATCACAAAACGCGGTACATAGGAGACGATTTCATTAGTTTATAAAGTCTTCCTACATAGTGACTTCGAAACCGTAGTGGTCTAAAACCATCATTGGTTGAAGCATGGTCACGACCATGAGACATGCGAATCATTTTAGAGCCGGAATGCTGACCGCTCTATCCGATCGATTTCGTTAGGGTCTGCGTTCCCTAACATCTCCCCCTTTTGAATGAATCGCATAAGATTTCCTGTTGGGGTTCACCTGCATCGGAATCACTGACTTCCGGTGTCGATCCATCCATCTTCTTGGTGCCAACTCCGGTAAAGATGTAGGAAGTGAAGTCTCCTGTTCGGGTTTGGAGTCTTCTGGACCGATAGGGAATGTGTCGAGGAGCAAGTCTAACGACAACATCCTGCGTGTTGGTGAATTATCCGGAAAGGAACGGAATTATAACTGATTGGCTTGTCGAACCCAAACATCGGAATTAACAGCAATCATAAGTTACACTTCCAGTTCGACGGATGATACGTGCTGGAGTCCAGGTAACTTAATTGTTGCGATAATCCTTTGTCAGCACAGTTTGCCCTTTGAAGAAAACTCGGTTCTGAGCACCGTGTCGCCTGTTGAACTGCTGTTCTGTTTTGCGGTTTCGCTTCATGCTGTTCCTTTTAGGTGGCTTAAGCAAATCAAGGCTGGATCGCGGTTTCTGTTTAATCAGCGCTTCAGACGGAGGTTTACCTGAGGTAACTGCGGATTTGGTGTTATTCTGTAGGCAAAGAGAAAAGTCTCAAGGATCTCAGCAGTCGGTCGCTCACCCTTGGCCTTTAGTACTGCTCTTTTGAAAGTATCCACGAATCGCTCTGCTAGGCAGTTCGACTGTGGATGGCATAGAGGTGATCTGATATGGGCTATGCCGTTTTTGTTGCAGAAATCATCAAAAATCGCTGAAGTGAACTGAGTTGTGTTACCAGTTACTAATGTGTCCGGATACCCGAAGTGACTGAAAACCTGACGAAGAGCAGTGATGGGCGCTGAAGCAGTAATCGATGATATGTGCAGTACCTCTGTCCACTTACTGTAGGCGTTAACCGGGATACGGAAATTGTTTTCATTAATAGGTCCAGCATAATCGGCATGGAGCCTTGACTATGGTTTCCCAGAATCCGGCCAACAGTGGAGCTCTGCTTTCCTTTGCGACTTCGAAGCAAGTGCGCATTTAGAGCAAGAGCGGGCAAGCTCTTCGACTTAAGCATCCAGGTGATGCAGTACACGTAGCTTCTGACCAATGCCTTCATTCGGTTTATTCCCCAGTGTCCGGTGTGGAACTGCTTCAGAACCATCGACTGAAGCTCCTTGGGAACCACTACTGGTTTCGCAAAGAATAAACAACCGTCGACAATCGACTAGGAACTGCGACGTTGATTGAACTGCTTCAGTTAACTATCAATCTTTTGTGCCCACCTTGAGCTGTGGAAGCGGATCACTTGCTGGAACAGGGGATCATGTGAGTTTGCAACACGTATCTGAGAAGCTGTTACTGGGATGGCTTTAATTGCATTTGCGATAACGTGACGAACTTCAGGCTCGATCGAGATGCTTGTCACTACGTTCTGTGGCTCCTATCAATTTTGGCCCATGAGACGTGATAAAGCATCTGTCTGACCAGTGTTCCCAGCCGAATGGTTCTTGATTTCTTAATCATGTCCCAAAAGCAGTGTGGCCCACCTCTGAAGATGATTTGTTGAGTAAACTAGGATGCGCTTCTTGGACCTGCAGATAGCAAGTGAGGGCATGTGATCTGTGACCAGAGTAACAAAACGGCCATAAAGCATTTTGTAAAAGTTTTTAATGGCCTAGACGAAAGCCAATTGCGAGAATGAACCGGTCTACGTCAACTTATCCAAGGAAACGACCTGGCAGCTTGGAGAGTTGTGCGAAGTTGCGGGACAACATACGGAGGTGGCTTAATCTGATGGCAGAGTAGTTACTCGGCACAAGGATCACGTCCGTCATCGTTTCGTTTCAACTCTGCCGGATAACGCGTCCTCAAACCAGCAAACTGAGTTGACAAATGCGCAAAACTCTCACAACTCTGGTCAACTGGAGGCTCAGCAATGGCGCCATTCAACTGGGCTACGGTCACCCGTCGACCGATACCAAGCTAGCTGGAGTGGTTCAAACTAAAAGGAGACGGGACGTAGCATCCTCACGGCCAATGTACTGAGCCCTTTCTAATCGTTGCCTGCATTCGTTGGCGTTTGTCAGTAACGCGCTCATCCATTTATCGACTTGCCTAGTTTAGACTAGTGGATCAATGGGTTGTACAACATACCGGTTAGAATACAGTGTTGCCTTCCATATTCCTGATATTGTGTTTTGCTTTGTGATACTTCGGCTAAGAGCCAGCCACTCTGCGTTAGTTCCGCAATGGCTAAACTGAGACAGCTTCTTTTTCAAGTTGACTGTAGTTACGTTCCGCGGGCCTAAACAGTCGGTCAGCATGAGTAATTGCGTTCTCAATTCCGGCAGGAAAGCGGTGAGATGCAACTGCGCTGACTCCGTAATTAGACGCATGCGTATCAACAGCGATATCCAAGTTCGGATCGTAATAAGTCAACAGCAGGTCTGATGATCCTGTCACACGCTTGACTGCATTCCGTGCTCCAACACCTCTTGGAATCTTTGAGAGGTAATGCGTTCAGTGGACCCCTTATATCATGCATTGCTGGCAGAAATGCACTGTAGTGACTCACCAATCACATGAAAGATCGTAGCGTCTTCACAGCATGTGGTGAAGGCAATTTTTAAATAACTCCAATATTAGCGGGGTCTGGTCGTCGACCGTGTTGATCATTGATGAATTCCAAGTATTTTGCCGAATCTATGTAGAAGACACTTTTCTTCTCTCAGGTGAAAGCCATAATCTTGGATTCGATCAAACACGTTTTCAATCCGGTTCTCTAGATCCGCCGGTTCTGTGCCCATGATAATGACTTCGTCAAGATATGCTGCAACTGATGGGACATCCGGTAGCATGGTGTCGATGATCTGTTGAAAAATGGTAGGTGTCGTTTTTACGCCAAATGGTAGTAGATTGTATGGAAAAGGCCGTGGTAGGTATTGATGAGCAGCAGCTCTTGCGAATCCTCAGCAACTTTCACTTGAAGGTATGCATCCGACAAGTCCAGTTTGGCGAAACATTTGCCACCATTTAGCCTTGGGAACAAATCACTAGGCAGAGGCAACGGATATTTGTGACTTGGCGGAGCAGAATCCATACCAGTGGAGAGGTGTGCACACATTCGGACTTTCCCATTTGGTTTCTTGACCGCCACAATAGGAGCAGCCCATAAGGAGCAATTCACAGGTTTAAAGATGCCCATCTGTTGCGGTCTCTACTTCCTGATCAACGCTTAGTAACGCCGCATAAGGTACTGAACGTTTGGGTCGAAAGACAGCTTTTGCATGGGGTGAAGGGACAATACTGCCTAGGTTTTCCTGCAGCAATCAAGCTCATCCCAGAGTGCTTGAGCGAATTTATGACGCAAACGCTCTGACAGAACATTTCTAGTGGGACTGATCACAGACTGAACATACAACTGATTGCACACAGAATTAAGTGAGACATCAAAAGCTTGAGTTTCGCCATCCATTCAAGGCCCAGAAGGCTTAGATTTGGCCGATTAGAAAGGTAACAGCACAGAATTGCACACAATTGAAACACATAGAACACTTAGTTCACCTGTGAGTTTCAGGACTCCACCTGAAGCATTCAGCGCTGTGCGATTTATCAGCGTTAGAGGAGGTTGACCGACCATCTTTCATGTGCTTAGTGATAATGGTGCTGTATAAAGCTTGAGACACACAGGAGTGTTGTTGATATGCACAGTCACATATATACGCTGGTGTTTTTCGTCCGTGTCGAACGTAGCCATAACAGGATTTATTTTGTACATAGATTTTTGTCCGGCTTTTCTGAGCTAGATGGACTGGGTCTTCGGAAGTGTTCCATTGTTTGTGCGGCAATGATCCTCTTTGTGTCCTCGTTTGTGACATTTCTGACAGCGGTGCTTTTGGATGGGCACAGTCAGACATAATGCCAACCATCACACTGCCAGCAGGCTGTTGGGGGTTCGTTGAAGGTTCCGCTTCTAGACGAATTAGTGGGCCTTGCTGAGGTGCTTTTTGTCACAGCATGCACGTTACTGGAGCCAGAGACCGCTTCTCGTCCAATCATTGCAGTATTGTGTTTCATGCTAGAATCCTGCTCTATCTTATTGAGTAAGCGGATAAGAATCCATTGCCAGAAAAATCTGTTGTGACCTTCTGCCTATCGCGCACGTGCCGACCTCTAAAGCCCAAATCTTCGGCCCAGAACAGAAGTCGAAAGACCTCAACAAGGAACAATCTCTTGCGAGAAGACAAAACAAGGAAAATGGGTGACGATCTCGTTAGTTTATCAAGTCCTCCTACACAATGACCTTGAAACTGCAAATATCTAAAACTATCATCGGTTGAGGCATGGTTACGACCATGAGACAAGCGAATCATTTTCGAGCCGAACGCTGAACGCTCTATCCGATCGATTTCGTTAGGGTCTGCGTCCCCTAACACAGATCGTTACTCATGTTATCTGCCTGCACTAGTTAACTGAAATCTCAACGAACAATCATCCACTCATTCATTGTGAATACCACTGTTCATATCCTCAACCAAGCAAGCAGTTTGGTGTCATGTTGTGGTAATATTCTCTGGCTTTATCCGAATGATGTCAAGCAACACTGTCAATCTTATGCGAACGTACACATCAATACTTTTCAACAAAGGTTATGATTGCGGTCCGCACCGAACCATTAGTCTTTAACTACAGTACTGTGCACCGGATGTACGCGCTGGGGAATATACTTCCAAATCAGTCATGGTTAAGTCGACGAGGCAAATAGCCTCGTTGATATCAAGTTGAAACTCACTGTTACCATCGGCTAAGATTGCTCACTTGAGTCTGCTGTGCTGTTCAATGGAAAGACTGTGCTGTTATTCAATAGCACAGCAGCAACAGCAGGATATTCACATTCGTCAGCGTCTGATCGGCTGGCCGAAGTAAGTTCGAATGCGTATAAAAAGTCTGTTGGCATACACACACGCACATTCATTCGGTCAAGGTTTGCGGCCTTTTAGTTTGCAAACCCGTCTCCGGATGCGTATGTTTTATTGTTATATCGGACAAACTGATAGTAACAGGCAACTGCGGAACGTGTTACAGTTCACCAGTCCCCGTTTGATAACCTTCAAGCTATTTGCATGCCTGTGAGCGAGTGAACCGCTCAGCATCATTATATCACGCACCAAGCTCTGATGGCTGGGCCACGCGTTGTGCACACCAGCACACGAACTCCCGCGACATGCGTTGTTTGCTCGCCGGGGGTGTGGTTGGAAGAGGAGCAAGGGAGGCCAAACGGTGACTTAATCGAGATAAATGAAAACCCTCACTTCGAAGTTGGCATCGCTTGGTGCATCCCAACTGTCTGGCTGGGGTCCCAAGGACGATGAACACGTTTGGTTTGGACACACGCTGATGTGGCGAATAGCCGACGCCAATGGCGTAGTGTTGTGAATGCCTTTGTCAACCCCACCCAGTTAGATTCTCCCTTTAATCACGGCCTCATAGCAACTGAATAATTTGATATTTAACATTGAGTTAGATGCTTTCTGAAGCTTTTGTAGTGTAAATTTTTAGTATCTTAACTTTTTGTATTGCGGTACATTAGCTGAAGCGTGTTTCTCATCTTCAGCTAACATGTATTGATGATGATGATGTTGCTGATGAGATTCACCCACAAGTTCCACCACTATTGCTTACAAATGCAGTGTGCAGAAGAGGCGGAAACTCGAGACCTCGTGCGACTGTACGGCGGATTGGAGCCCTTGATTGGCTTGCTTGGTAATCAAGAGAACAAAGAACTTCTTGCCGCAGCCACTGGTGCTATTTGGAAATGTGCCAGTTCGAGAGAAAACGTTAACCAGTTTCAAAAGTTGGGAGTTATAACAAAACTCGTCGGGCTGCTCAGCGATCAACCTGAGGAGGTAAGTTTTTAGATCTGAGTACATCCACTTGCTGGTGTTTCTTTCTAAAATGGAGGAACTAAAATGCAGTAGGACTGTGTGTAAAGCCTGCTGATTTTATCACCTGGTTCTACTGACTGCTGGTTTCTACACTTGGCATCTTAATTGAAGAGGCGCTGAACAACACGTTCAATTCAAGTCAACATGAGCGTACGGGATAATGAAGTGGCTGTTAGACAAATGAGTTGAGTCGACAGATGAAGTCCTTTTGTATCGTATTAAGTGCGGCAGGCCTATCTTCCCCTCAGCCCAGATAACCTGTATGACCTACGCCAGACGGTCAAAAAAGCAACACTGCTGGGAACACGCGTGTGTTCTGCCAAATCTTCACTGAGTTTGGCATCATGATTCAATCAGGCTATAAATGCTCTTCCAATCACGGAATCGTTGAAGACGGCGGGTTAATTCATGACTTCTAGATTGGAGGGGGAAGTGGCAGTGGCGCCGACACAACGACCACCGCTTGCGTTGTACCTTTGGTGCTTCGTCATACTATCCGAAGGACCCATGCCGTTAATTTTCGGTGCATTGACTAGACAAAGTAGCAGACACAAGTAGACTAAATCATATTGTGCATCCACTCGCTGTGCTCATATCGCAGAAAGTAGTACAGACGGCTGCGTGCTAGACAACTGGAGTAGACGTTGAAACCATCACTCGACCTGTCCGAAGGGGCAGACGCAAATGGACTAGTGTCTTATCAAGCGATCAACAGTTACCTTTAAGTCAAACTGATTCGACACGCTGCACCACTGCCCGCGGTTGACCTAGCATGGCTGTGTTAGAATTTCACCAATTATTGCACTGTGGCTAACGCGTCCAAAGAGAAAGTGATCTATCACTCCGGCTGCTACTGGCTTGGTGACAATGTAGTGGAATTAGTTCCGAATGTTGTGGCAAATTGCTGCAGAGCAATGGTTATGGAGTGGAGATAAGCCACGGGTCGTATAAGATAGTCAAAATTAAAAAATGTGTACCGAGTACGCCGTTTACTTATGACGCATCCGCCGAAGTGTAAATTCAAGCAGAATGACTGCTACCTGACCCATTGTCCAGTCTAAGCAAACCAACTAGTTGGCATTGGATTTACAAGTAGCGCGTTTCACCGAAGCATTCTCGGGACACATTTGTAGCCTCAAAATCTTAGACCGGACACCAAAAGTAGCATGGACGGCTACATTGCTGAAAAAGTTCATTAACATGGGACTAAGCAATTACTCAGAGGATCGCTTTACTCAAAAAATCAGCAAATTACAGCTATGCCTGTTCGTGTATTGTGCCCATTCATACATTAGAATGAGTTGCTGCGAGGAGATCTCTTTTCGATAATTCTCCTCAGACATTTACAATTAGGATAAAACTTGGCACAACACGATAAGCTATCTAAAGCTGCAGTAGTAAATGGTTAGGTCACAGTTCAACGGAAGGTCAATGAGCCAATCGATAGATCAGTCAATGCAATCAGGTGGTAAACGTCACGCGCTTTCACACCCCAAACACTGAAAGGCAAACATAACAAGAAAGAAATGGTTGGTTTGGCGTCAAAGCTCACAGTTAGTCCTGGGCAAAGGTAGGTACGGAGGGCCTCAACCAGCCAACGCAGCGTGGGCGTTTATACAAGCGTCCTCTGCTTGCATAATGCGGGTTGCAGCAGCGTGATGGCCATTGCTTCCGAAGTAACCAACAGACGCTTCCTCAGTCCTTTTGGCTTGCGTTTAGATACTGCGTAAAGACCTTTGAGTTTCCTTGATGACCCATAGAAAGTTCCTGTAGGATTGTTAGACTATGCGTCTGCACATGATGACTCGAGAGCTCCAACTTACCGTCCTCGAAGCCTAATTCCTCTTCGAATGTGAAATGCTCTTAGACCTTCATCTATCGTGTCTGGTCAAACAGTTAGGATATAATCACGCGCCATTGACAGTTCAGGGTCACTCCTTGTTCCCGATTTTATTTCCGTTGCTGTTACCAGCGAATCACCCAACCAAGTTATTACTTGTACCAATTCTCTCTAACTTGGAGGGTGGCTCGGAGCCTCCCGTAATGGAACTCGGCTGAGAGCATCGGCACAATCATTCTCCTTCCAAGGAAGATATTTCAGTTGATACTGATGGCCAGCGAGTAGTAGAGCCCAGCGAAGCATCCGTGGCGATGCCATTTGGGGTATCGCTTTTGATTCCTCCAGTATTCTCAGCAATGGCTTGTGGTCTGTGTGTATTTCAAATCTGCCCAAATCGGTGTTGGTGAAATCCTACAACCCCAAATACGACTGCCAATGCCTCCTTGTCAATTTGCGCGTAATTTCGTTCGGTCTGCTATAGGGTCTGAAATGCAAATGAAACTGGTTCGTTTACTCCCTTCGCATCAGGTTGTCACAGGGCGGGTCTGACTCCGTACGGTGATGCATCACTTGTCAGCGTCATGTACTTTTCAGGGTCAAAGTGGACCAAAACCGGTGGACTGACCAATGCACTTTTAGCTTGACGGAAGCCAATTCCTCCGTCTCAGACCATACCTATTGTGTGCCCTTACATAACAAACGATGCGACGGGTGTAACACTGTGGCTGCCGAACAAACCTTGAGTAGTGATTATACATCCCCAAGAACGACCTCAACACGTGTTGATTTCTTGATTGTGGTTCTCCAAGGATAGGCCTGATTTTGTCCTTAGTCGTCTTCAGTCCCTCAACACTTTATGGAAACCCAAATAATCTAGGTGGGAAGCCAAGAATACCCATTTTTTACGTTTCAGCTTCAAACCATTCTCCTTCAGACGGTCCAGAACAACTCACAGGGTTTGTAGATGTTCGGCAATTGTCGCCTCTGTTACCAAGATGTCGTCTAGGTATACGGAAGCCTTAGGCAACCCTGTTATGATGTTCTCTATTGTTCGCTAGAAAATGGCCGGAGCCGAGAGTGTGCCAGATGGTAGTCTGTTGTACCTGAACAATGAACAGTGAATTATGCCGGGTTAAAATACAGTTGTTTGACAAGTCCCGCAGGATGGTGTGGGTAAAACTACAGTAGCAAAAGATATGTGAGTTGTCTGTTTGAGCGTTTATCTAGCGAATACATCGCTGAATAATAGTATTGTAAGTGAGAATTGTTTGCAAGTGACAAGGTAACATGGGGACAGTTGATGCATTCCGTGAAAAAAGTAAGAACGAGCATACTCACTTCTGTACCGCCTCCTCAGCTTTATGTAATATGTTAATCCGGTTTGGAGGGATAATTAATATGTTCCATAGTAGCACAGTTTAAGCGACGTAGTGATGGGGGTCAAGAGTAAGATCCAATCGTTGTTTGAAAATATCCAAGGTGGGCAAGGCAAAAACCAACTTTGGGAGAGAGTTCCAGGGTTGACAAACCCGAAGAGAACAAATAATTCTGCCGGCATTCCAGGCGGCTATACTGTGCAATCAATTTCAGAGGGTTAACTCTGAGATTGGTATTATGACTGTTTCAGCAAGTAACGGCATACGTGAGTAGGGTCAATCAATATTTGGTAGAATAATATGAGGTCGTCGCGCAGCCTTCGCAAGCGGCCACTGAAAACTCCCGGTGACTTCAGCCTTTGATGGTAGGACAGATTTCGTAAGCCATTGAAGTTCTTTGTGGTCCTGCGTTGTGGTTTCTCTTGCAGCTCTAAGTCGCGCTTTAACCAGTGTTGCCAAACTTGGATGGCGTATTCAACGTGAAGGCGCAGATAAGAATTTTACATCATGGGGAAGATGGATGGGTAGAAACTTCCGAATGCTCTCCGCAGCAAACCGACGTGCTGGTTGGCTCTCTTCTCAGCTGCATCTGGGTGCTTTGAACAGTTAAGGTCACTTTGAACGAGCACACCAAGATCGAATTCTGGGCAAGTTATTTATAGCTGATGTGACCCAAGCCTATACACGTATTCATGCATATGGCACATTTGAACAGCGTGACATATTTTTCATATTGAACGTAGTGTATTCAGAACTGACCGGTTTGAAATCGAGTTGAGGTCACGCTGGAGCTTTTCTTGGTCGTTCGGTTCTCTGATCGCTCGCCATAACTTGATATCATCCGCAAAGAGTAGCAAATCGAAGTAATTTACCTCGCCAGATCGTTTATTAAAATCAAGAATAAACGAGGCCCGAGCACCAAGCCTTGTGATACACCGCACTCCACCTCAATTGCGTCAGACAAGGATTCTCGTACTCTCACCTCCAACAGACGTTCGTGCAGGAAATTGCCTATGCAACACAGCAGTGGGTCACCAATGCCATAGAGCTGAAGTTTATGGAGGAGAATTCGTTGGTCCAAGCAATCAAACGCTTTTGAGAAGTCCAGGTAAATGACATCGACTCCTGCTAGACCATCAACTGCTTCAGTCCAGCTATTGCGTGCAATCAGCAGGCTCGTGGTGTATGAGCGCTTTGTCGGAAGCCATGTTGCTCTGGTGCTAATATGTTGTGATTTTCCAGGTACTGCATGAGTGCATCAGCGATGATAGACTCAATACCTCGGAAAGCACAGGGAGTAGCGTTATAGGATAGTAATTAATTGGGTCAGTGCGACTACCTTCCTTATGCATAGGAGTGATGACCCCTCGCTTCCATATTGTCGGAATCTGGTTCTCCTCCATACAGCGCTAATAAAATGTAGTCGGAGGTTCCGCCAGATTACTGGCTGCTATTTGTAAAGCCATCGACCGAATGTCATAAACACCAGGAGAGCTGTGGATACGCAGGGACTACAGTTTCTTTGACACACTTTGCAGTAAAAGTAATGGTGGATAAGGCTGAGTGTGGGACAATGGAAACAGGGATAACCGTTGGGCCCGTTACTCTTTGGAACGTTTGTGGGTAATGGAACAGTAAGAGATCGGCTGCTCCTGTTGCTGATCGCGTGCATCCCTCAGCCGTGATCAGTGTAGGAATTTCGCGTTGCACCTTACGAATGCCATTAACATGCGTGTATAAGAGTTTGCGGTTCGTGCAGATTTCCCTTAACTCCTGCCGATGCGCCACCTTGGCCTCGCGGATCAAATTCACACAGAAGTTACGCTGTGCCACATAGGTATTCCAGATTTAGGAATTCGGGGACTCCTTGTAAGCTCTCCGTGCTAAGTCCCTCAAGGACATGCATTTAAGTGTTCTGCGCCTCAGAAATGATTCCCCTCTCCTTTGACCATGGGAGACTTTCTGCTCAAACGCATGCGTTACCAGTGTGCTAAATGTCTTTGTGAAAGTGTCCCAGGCGATTTCTGGGCGACAATCAGTTAAGAAGGTCCAAGCCACCACATTAGCAAGCGCGGATAACATGTAGTACGTGACCGTATGCACTTTATCATCTCCTTCCTCAGGATATTCCGTATAACACACAGTTAAACAATAGAGTCGCATGGTCACTGCGACACGCGTTGGGTACTGATCGTCGTTACTGTTTTGGCGTCTTTGTGTACTTCGAGCTGCTGATAAACGTGCGCGAGATCCAACGTTGAGAAATACCTGCTGGTACCGAGCTGCAAGTGAAAGTCCTCAATTTTCGGGATAGGGTATTTTTCAGCCGGACTATTGTAATCGACGGTAACTTTCTAGTCCGCACATATACGAATCGATCTACTGGGCTTGAGTACGGGAACAATTCGTGTAGCGCAATCCGAAAACCGTACTAGCTCTATGACGCCGCTCTTCTGCAGGCGCTCGAGTTCCTCTCCTACCTTCGATCGCATCATAAACGGCAGCAATCGAGCCTTGATGAATGGTGGTTGTGTGCCAGGTTGAATGTGGATAGTAAATTGTCCAACGGTGAAGTTTCCTTCCTCCGACATCTCAAATACTGGTGCGAATTGCTGGAACAGTGTTTGTATCTCTGATGGTAAGGAATGGTGGCTTATCGGTAGAACTGGAATGTGATTGAACCAGTCGCGTCCCAGCAGGTTTGGACTATCTCCGCGTGCGATGCAAATGGTTCCTCGGGTTGTCGATCCTCCATGTTGATACCACAACGTCCTGCACCCACAGCAGTTGCACTTCACCACCCCTGTATGTACGCAATCACAAAAGTGCCCGACACACTTTGGTGTGGATCTTCGAGGCCAATTTTGTGACTAAGTTCGTTCGTTGCACACCGTTGCTGCAATGCCCGTGTCAATTTCAAAATGCACTGGGGTCTGGTTAACACAAAGTTGCACGCGAAATGGCGGTTGTGCACTTGGGGTAATTGTGTTAAATATATATTCCTGTGGTTCGATAACAACAAGTTGGTTGTTTATTACCGGGGAACATGGGTTTTTACTGGCTCGGCACATACGGGTTAAGTGTCCACCTTTTCGGTATCTGTTACAAACTGTCTGTGTATGTTTGCATTCTTTGGGATGACTGTGTCGCAAATCGCAGCGATAACAGTTGAACGAGCCCGCGATATTTTTATCGAGTTTCTTGACTTCGGCCGTGACATCTTCAGCACATGGTTTTGAATTGAGTTGTAAATTTTGCAGATGCTGGGCATTCCTCTCAGCAGCCTCCATACGCGTCGCAACATCATAGGCATTTTCCAATCTCAATGCGTTATCACCCAACAGGCAACGTTGAATGCGAACCTATTTCACGTCGACCACCAGACGATCCTGGATCATGTCGTTTCGGTAGTTACTGAAATCACAACATTCTGTCAAGTTCCGAAGCTCGGCAACGAAGGAAGCAACTGACTCCCTCTCACCTTGGACTCGGGTATTGAAATAAAATCGCTGCACAATAACTGATGGTTTTGTGTTACAGTGATTGGAAACTAGTGTGACCAGGTCAGTAAACTGTTTGGTGCATGAAAAATCGCGTGTCACCAAGCTGCGAATTAATTCGTATGTTTGTGAACCACAGATACTCAATAGGATATTCATATTGAGGTTGTCTCTGAAGATTTCAGTAGCGGCGAAAATACGGTTCATACGTTCGATGTGACGGCTCTAGGACCCGGATCCCTTAATGGACCCTTCCAGTTTTCCGTTTGAGACCATGCGTTCTAGTAAACCGTCGCCAGTATTGTAAGTAAAAACACGTATACGCAAATGACATGGCTGTAATGTGCGCACACGACCAACGCACTGGTTCGCGTGATAACATGGACATTTATTCGCACAGATGAGTCAGGAGCATCGCCAGACAGACTTTGACTCGTGATAACCAATCGCGACAGAATTACCTGATGGGCTTTTTCGCTTGGGCACTGCAGTAGAGGGGATGAAAATTCTTCCTGTCAGATTACGAGCCATAGGTTTCCAAATCTGCTAAATTCATTACTTTATATTCCTTACCTGAAGCCCGCGGTAGCGCTTCGGGGTCTCATGATATCGAGTCAAGTTCCTCTACTCGAGAAAACTGACATACTGTGTGCATCGCTGGTCAGTAAATCGCAGTTGTTCGTAAACTCGCGAGGCCTACCATTAACCGTAGTAGGAACCGCATTTGCTACTGCTGCTTTCTGTGTACTCTTCCAACGTAACTGGTCATCTCTCTGGATACACTATCTTTTCGAAATTATAAAAGGCCGTTTAATATTTTGGCCAAGTTCCACCGACACATCCACAACTCCATGGGGAGGGTACCAAAAACGCTTTTTGCCTCATTGTCTACACTACTTTAGAAAAGCACAGAAAGCGAACAATCTTCGAGTACAACACCTGACGTCGCAAGACCATTTCGAAGCCCGCGGTGTACTCGAGGACCCCCGATAACTTCTTCCTGGAAGATGGTGAATCACTCTACACTTATTATTAATCAGTTAAATCAGGCACTGCAAGGTATAAATTAACAAACTCGATCATATGCGTACAGTCCGTTGAAGACAATCGTGTTGATTCTGCGGTAATTGGTGCCAGACGGTGTCATGATCCCTACGCCACAGCATGGTTTGAAAACTAGACCAGATTCACGTAATGATTTGATGCCATCCTGCGACCAGTCCAAACGTGATGGGCGGTTATCGACCACTCCAGCGTCAGTTCGTCTGCAGTGTTTTTAGTGCAACTGAGCTTCAGATTTGACTTGATTCTATCGTCGTTGTCAGTACGTATTTACACGTCTGAAGACAGAGAACTATACCATCAGAACCACAGTGGTAATGAAAGGGGTGCCTTCGTTCGACAAAGGGGTGAAAACGCTTCCAAAAGGGAAAGGTTCTTTGATGTTTCAGATGCGCCGTTTTGAGTTTCTTGTTTATGTTTTATTTCAAATTGAGCGTTACGTTACGTAGGATTTCTAGTGCGAGCCATAACCTCCAAAAATTTATCAGGTGGTTCCTAACCTGGGAGACGGACATATCTAACGCTAGACATGAGGTATGATTCTTCAAGGTCCTCCTCCTCATCATCAGTTGTCCACTGCGGCATCTTTTCCATTCACGTCCAGAAAGTGAATAATATTCGAAGTGGAAGGCGATAGGCTAACCCAGCCAACGCAAACGCTGTTGGAGAATAATGCCCTGAAGGCAAGGACTGTTCGTTCCGAGTAGTCGACTTCTAACTTCCATGTTGCTTACATGATGTTGTCAACACACATGCGCAATCGTTCTCAAACAATGGTTGTCGAAAGCTGACAGCCAACTAAAATCTTCCACGCAGGCAATCCGTTTCGCAGCCGTACAGCACGGACGGTGACGTTATACACTCGGCTTTCGAGCTTGAGACTGACGTCGCGACGACGCATCAGGTTAGTGAATTCAACACGAGCTTTGACAGATCGTCATAGAAAATTTTCCGCCATACCGCCCACATTCGTGATGCATCTACCGAAGGTGATAAAGCTATTAGCTTGTTCCAGACTGTCTCCGCAATGGTGAGCACAGGCACAGTCGCTTTCTAAACCTGAAGCGAAGCTTTACACTTGGATGGGGTAAAATACAGACTTTATTCTACTCGGCCAACTGCAACACCGCCACGAACGACTGGGCGTGTTCCCAGAATGTGGCCAACATTCTCATGCTAGCTCGAGTAGTGTTTCACATGTTCTTTTTACTGTCGCTCCTCTAGCACGAAAAAGGCTAATTTAATATCACTTCATTCCACGATTTGACCGCTGTTATTGGCTACTGGTCAGTTCACTTCTATGTATGTTGTTTTCAGATGGCTACCTATTTGTACGTCGATTCCAGCTCACCGAAAATTCAGCTGGTACTGAGGACAGAGAGAGTAATCAGCCCCCCTATGTTCTTGTTCCATGTTGCGTTGTATTCCGAGTTTCATAGTGTTACCTTTGTACGTGGTTATCCACGTAGGCATTTCAAGCTCTTTTATGGTCGCTGCTCACTCAAGGGGTACTGCACCGCCAATGTCGTGGTGCGCAACGGCAACAACACACATGCTTGATATTGGAGAGCGAATAACCTAGCCACCAATATGAGTTGGATGGACTCGGAGTAAGTTCACTGGCAAATGGCGGATTGTGAGTTTCCTCTGTGCTACAATGGAAAACTCAAGTAGCTCACATTAAACATACGTTTACTTCATTTACCCACTACCAATGCAAACTTTATTCCTCGGTCACTGAGCTAATCTACATGTTGCCGATTACCGCTAAATTTTGACACAAGTTCGTCCACTTTGTCGTTACTCAACTGTGCTAATTTGGTGTCGCAGCGGACGCCTTCGCCCCACTACCGTACCACGAACTCCAAAGACCATCCGAGAAAGAATTGTATGCTTTGAATCATGCCTGCGTAAATTCTTCTGGGAATGGGGGAAGGGAAGCCACTAAAAGACATTCAAGCCAAGTAAATTGCTGAAAGCATGCACGCAGACTGAAACCAATGAAAACTGATCAATACAGCACCAAAAAGAGACACACAACAAACGAAAAGAAATAGCTTCAGCAGCCAATGAAGCGTGATATATTCCAGGTAAAAAGGCGATAGCTTTACAAGTCCCGTAGGATGGTTGAAGTGAAAGTAAACATAAGTGTAAATTGTCAATTTAAGCGTCTAGTGATTCAGATGCCCCTTATGCATATAAACATTGTAGAATGTGTACTGAATTGTTACTGTAGAGTAATATGGGAGGTGATATGGGGAAGGCAGGTGTTAAGAAGAAAAGAAACGACAACGCTTACTCGTGCGCCGATTTCTTGGACTGAGGTAATTGATGAACGCAGTTGTAAAATATCCGAAACTATATTCCACAACAGCAGTGTGTAAATAGTGAAGCACAAAAGCTGAGAATGAGCACCGTTTTTTTCGCGTTTGTTTGATGTAGGCATCTCTGATTATATAGCGTAATGTAGGTGGATAAGCAGATCATCCAAACGTCTTTTGAATAGCGATAGCGTGGGGGAAGAAACAACGTATGTGGGAAGAGCGTTCCGGTGTTGGCACACACAAAGGGAAAAGAAATTCCGGCGGCATTCCAACCGGCTGTATTGTGTGGCCAGCATTAGCTGGTGTCCTCTGAGTGTTGTCTGGCGACTCATCTTTAGTAGGTGACGACGAGAATGGTTCGGATTCCTCAGGACCATATAAGTCATTATCAATTCGCCACGCAGGCGTCGATATTGTCCACTGTAGACTCCGAGGGTTTTCAGCCTCACTCGGTAAGGGAGATGAAACAGGCCCTTTACGTTCTTGGTCGACCTCCGTTGTGGCAGTTAAAGAGCGGTAAGGTCTTGCTTTTGCCATGGCTGCCAGGCGTGGATGGCGTACTCAGAATGAGACCGAATGTAGGCGTTGAGCATCTGGGAAAAGATGGAAGGATCAAAGCGCCCGAACGCCCTCCTCAAAAGGCCAAGGTGTTGGTTAGCTTTTTTGGAGCCTTTCTCAGCCTGACGGGAACAACCCAGATCTTCCTGCACCACCACTCCTAGATCGCATTCCGTTGTTGTGTGCTGCAATATTTGATCCCCCAGTCTGTATTCGCAAGTGGCTTTACGGCGTATGCTCAACACCTTGCACTTTGTAGCGTTGAACTGAATCAGGTTCTGCGTCGACCATTCGTCGACCCTGTGCAGATCATCCTGAAGTGCTGCATTGTCGCTGGTTGTTCTAATGGCTCGCCATATCTTGAGATCATCAGCGAAGAGTAAGGAGTTGGAGGTGATTACTGTCGCGAGATCGTTTATGTAAATCAGGACTAGTCGTGGACCAAGTACTGAGCCCTGGGGCACTCCGCACTTAATGTCGATTGGGTCAGAGATGACGCCGCGAACTCTTACATTCAGATGTCGTTGAAGCAAGAAGTTACCTATCCAACCGAGGATTGGGTCACCAGTTCCACAATACTGCAGCTTGTGAAGGAGGATACGGTGGTTCAGACGGTCGAAACCCTTTGAGAAATCCAGATATACTGCGTCAACACGTACGCCGCTGTCAACGGTCTCAATCCAACTGCATCTAGCAAGCAGCAAGTTTGAAGTGCAAGATCGGTTCTTGCGATTTCTGCACCAGTAATCGCTTCATTCAACCAGGTCTCGGTTATCATAACGAGGTCCCTTGACATCCATGCCTGACGCAGGTGAAGCTCCGTCAGTTTGCTTAAAAGACCTTGTGCGTTGGTATAAAAACAAGAGATTGCTTCATATGTTAGAAGGTTATTTGTGGATGTAGACAACAGGTTTGAAACTTGGTCGACCCTCTTGAGGTCGGCTGCTACTAGTTTTTTGGAATTGTCTTAGGCTCGCGAAAATGACTTGGAATAACTCTTTGCACCATGTGATCAGGTTCATGATTATCCTGATGATCACTCTCCTCCTGCAGTGTCTCGCCGGATGCTATGACGGCAGTCAGATCAATCTCTGTGGTGGGCTCTGCAACAACGGTTGTTCCCACTGAGTTGGTTCTGTCCATGGCGTAACCAGTAGCCTCTGGTCGTAAACTTGCTGCCAAGTGGGACAGCTAACCCAGGGTAGAAACAATGACCACAAGTAGCCATTGAAATTACCGGAATGATGTGCTTAAACAAATGTCAGTACTGCGATAGCGGACGAAAACAAATCGATAACTAAGAATGTTTTTCCAAAACTTCTATGTTCAACAAGTTTCCCCCTAACATTTAATCGAGGGGTCGGCCACGCAGTAAAAACAAAACTTAACAATAAGGTTCATGGAATGATCGGTGGATATGTAACGCCTGGACTATACTGTCAACCGTGCACAATCAGCTTGGCGGTAAACCGCCCACATCCAACAGGGTTGTGGATATGGGCGCATCGCGTGGTGTGCGTTGTCGCACTCACGGTTGTCAAGGCCTAGCTGTTACAGCCAAATCTCGGATCTGTGTGTGCATTGGCTCGATTCTTGCGATGGGCCCCGATTGTTTCTCGAGGACCCAAAAGGCGAAGATAATGGTGAGTTCGTCTACCTGCGAACCGGTCCCTCTGACAATTACATACGAATTAGACACTTATCCGTGCACATAGGACCTATATGGTCCCGTCTATACCATTCGAACATACAACGCGATTCTCGCCTTGGCTGTCCTATTCCATGGTACTTATAATGAAATTCAGGGCTTTATGCTGACTGATATTGCAACTACACGTCTGCGAAGGTGTCAATACTCCGCACTGATTGTAAAGTGAGTGGTGGTTGCATCGTCTTGGTGACTAGTAGTGCTCACTAATGCTATACACAGTGCATCCGTTCAACTGGGTTGGACGGCATTCCGACTCGCGGGGGAACTGGGTGCCACTCCATTCTCCTCGCATGCGAGACAGGACCATCTCCGATCCGTAATACAACGGTTTTAGTGGCCAACAGTTACTGAGTTTGATAGCCGACAGTTTGTCCGGTCCAGCGTAACCGCAGTGTAAAGCTGTTGCAAGCGTAAAACACAGCTTAGACGGCTGTGTTCGCCTTTATTTGGTAGGGGTTGACGTAGTTGTTTGAGTTCACATACGCTCATTTTAACGCAGTCATGATGGCAAGCTCCCAGAACGATGCAACGTTTGTACAAATACGTTGGTGTTGAATAACACAGAATGCATCGATTAAGTGAGCACATAAACTATTCCTGACTATATGTGGCTGAGGTTGGCAATTCAGTTGATCATTTGTTCGACCATCCTGGTAATTTGGTTGCAACAGATCTGCAGGAATTGCGTCTTCAATATGACACTCAGCCTGACAAAGCCAGCAGAGGGACAAACCTTCATTAACTGGCCACCGTTTTCCCTTCCTCATTCACCGTCACCGCTATTCTACAACCACATCGGAACCGAACTAGCGGTGAAGCTTTGAGTTGGATACAATAGCCACTATGCAAACCCAGATGTCAGTTTTCGCCCATCACATCCGCGCACTAATCCTGCGCAGCATCTTGGTAGCACCTACTGCATACGGATCCTCGTACATCGGTTCAATCCAGTTCGGCAAATCAACCACTATCCAAACATTAAAACGTGATGAGTCCAGTTAACGAACATCGCTAACAGGAAAAGTGCCGGATCTGCTCGGCTGACTACTCTGTCCTAGTGCCTGCATGCGCAGCCTCCGTGACATTATATTTGCTCGGGAGGTGTACAGCAAGATCCAGTAGTTTTCAAACACCGGAGCAGATTGCCATAAAGACTAACCGGAATCGGGGCTCAACGTGATTGCAACTGAAATTGCATGTTTCGACAAAGGAGGTCAGTTCCCGTCTTACACCCTGTGCTTCCACCGAACAAAGATCATTTTGGGCATCGCATGTTAACCTTCTTCAGGTATGCGCATGCGGTTTTCCGCTGTGAGTGACCCAGCGTATCTCATTTACGTACATTAAGAATAGCAATGAATGCAATGCGTTGCCTTAGATCGTTCTGCTTATCACAGGTTTTGGCTGTGCAGTATTGTACTGATTGCATTTTTATGAAAACGATATCATTTAGTGGAGAAACGGTCCTTAAATGTCATATCGAACAGCCTTTTTGATCAATGTCGTGGCAGTTTAGATTATGCGCCTTACACATATCAAGAAACACGATGGTCTGCCGATATTCGTTATCAACTAAGATTGCAATATGACTCAAGGCGTCTTATTTAGTTTATAAAAATCCCTACTGAGACACACTTACTTTCTTGAGACGAAAGGAACTGCACCCTGCTAGTTATGCGGATCCCATTAACTCGCCTAAACATGATGTGCGTGGTATTGACCGGCTGTAGTTCCGGACTTCCAACATGGCACCGCTTCATAATGAGGTGAAAATATTCCTTTTCCAATTA